GGAGTAGTACTAGTAGCTGTTGAAGTTGGAGTAGTACTAGTAGCTGTAGTAGTAGTTTGATAGCTCTGTCATAGATCATCTGTCTTACAGGATCACTTTTCTGGCATTTTATATTTGTAAAATATTTTTCTCACTGATTTTCTTTTTTTTTTCCCAAGTATTATTTTAAAGTAACTCGTTGTTGAGCCGGGCTGAGCTCGTCCACAGGCTGGGCCACCAGTTGTGTGGTCCTATTATTACCATTTTAATGCATATCTGTGATTTTTAGACACATTGTAGTTGCATTAACATGGTGACAACATCATATCAACTATTGTTGATGTGATGACCTGACTCCACCTCGTTGACTTCTCTACCTGCATGAATCCTCCCTAAAACCTCTCAGGATTCGCCCGAGGTCATAGTTCTGCTCAGTTGTAAAACAAGAACACTCTGATTCTCTGGACAGAAAAAAAAAAGGTTTACTGTCAACCCAGCTTGTCCTCTCTGTTCCAGGACAACTAAAGGGAGGTCGAGGAGGAAGCAGAGGACGTAGAGCGGGAGGCAAAGGGACGAAGAGGAGTAGAATTCAGTCACCTGTAGAGAGAACTCCCTCTGCTCTCCACCTGCTGTAAAATATGCAATTATCGAGTAAGGGACTCATAATCTTAACAGGGCTCAACTTGTGTTTTATATAGAGTAATTTTTCTGATTTTTAATTGACAGCTTTGTAAGTTTCAGTTCAAACCTTTAAGAGTTGTGTGCATGTGAGTATGCGTGTCTGCGCTTCTGGGTGGGTGTTTTATGCCAAAGAGATTTTTATTTTGTGATGATAATCATGTAGCCTCTTTTTTTAATGAAAAGGAGAATATTTGAAAACACTGCCAGCGGTGGCTGAACGTGCACCTTCGCACCGCTGAGTTTGACGCCTTTTTAACAAATACGACTCATCTTTGCTGTAGTTTTTACACTTTGTTCTGTCGTCGAGTCCCACGGAGAGCCAGGAGACGGGGTTCACTTTTATTTTCTTGTGGCAATAATTTAGTCGGAGGGAGCAAAGAGGGTTTAAAAGAACAGCACAGGGCTGTGCCTAATGCTTTGTAATCGGCTGATGTGTAAAAATGAGTGAGATGCTTTGGTTCCCCCTTATTTAGAAGAAAAAAAAAAGTATATTTTAGTGTACTCACCAGAATTTTAACAAATGTGTTTTTGATTGTAAAGTGGAATTTCAAAACAAGTGGCTGAGGTTTAAAAGTACAATGATGATGATTAGAGTTCACGTTTGTGCATCAGATTTTGTCTGATTATTAATCTTCACGTGAGTGTGTGGCCCTACAGCTGGAACAAACTACTGACAGGAAATTTATTTTCTTTCTACTTTTGAAGAGTTTTTACTGAAATTTTGTTTATTAAAAATAAAGGATATATTAAACCTACCGTGTCCATGATTTTTGAATTAAACAGCAACACACCAATAGGAGATATTGGCACACTCAAGAACCACAATTAAATAACACAAAGCCTTTAATTTGTGTTGTTCACTAACAATCGGTTCTGCCGAGTACATTTGCACCTACAAGGGTTTGCGTTTGCATTGGGTCAGTGCTACACATTTTAATTTTAAAAATTATTTTTTTTAAAGCTGTACTTGAAAACCAATATGTGATGCGGTTGAAGGCAATAAGTTCAAAACTTGCACTTTATGTGCCATCAGGCTTGTGATAAAAGATTTCCGAATATTAGTAGAAAATCACTTAAAACCATTGTTTTATTCTGTTTGCAATCATTTGCTGGAATCAAAACCTCACTTTCTTTAGCACTTTCTTTTTTTTAATCATTATTATTGAAACCTTTATTTTACCAAGAAGGATATCCATTGAGATTATTAATCTCTTTTAAAAGGATGGCCTGGGCAAGATGCAAACAAGCCTTTACAAATACAGCAACAGTCTTAATAACAGTAATATTAAAATATTTACATCAAAACATCTGGCAATGAGACATACAATGCAAGTTTTTATCTTTCGAAATGTTCTGCTGCTATTCATGGTTTGGTCTCTAAGGGGCAAAAAAATATACTTTTTTAATCCCAACGCAAGCTACCTGGTTAAAGATTAAATAAAATGAACACAAATATTGACTACTCCTCAATATGTATTTGTGTAATCGGTTGCCGCAGAAGAACAAAATAAAATCTTTTTAAATCACGTTTAAAGCAATGCATCATGGGAGTTTTAACTGCTACTTCCATGCCATGCTAATGCTAGCTTGTAATTAAACAAGAACGACAAAGGAAGATTCAGTTTCTTGAAGTTTTTATTTATTTTCATATTTTTGTCATTTAACAGTGCTACCGCTTTCGGTTATTTTGTTCAGATTTCCGTTTATTAAAATAAATTGTTTTTTGCTACTTCCCTTTATGTAATCTGTAGTATTCACCAGTCACCACTAGAGGGCGTTGCTTCCACACTAACAAGGAAAAGCTGCAAAGATTTTGGGGTCAAACTGTTGTGAAAGTGATTTATAAAGTAAATAACACGTATGCATCTACTTCTACTTTACCTTTGGAAGACAGAAACAAGTGGTCAAATTGTATAAAGCTCCCTGAACCTCAATTTGGATCCAAATTTCATCTTTGTACACGTTAAAACTCATTTAGCTGCTAACAAGCCTCAAAGAGAGTCCCAGGATAAAGCAGCAAAAAAAAAAAAAATCATTATTTTTTTACAACCCTTACTGGTGCAGGGCATGATTAATGATGGTGTTAAACATCAGATCAACTCTGTCAGCCTGTTGAAGCAATAATACAATGACGGTCTACATGAAATATTCAGACAATGATTGCACACAATACAAAGCAGGAAAACAGAAAAAATATTTCAAACATTTCTATTAGGTTAAAAAATAAAATGTATGTTTGCATAGAAAAATATATCTTCAAATGTCAATAAATACTTCAGGGGGCAGCAAAAATAAGTGCATCATGCAGCAGACACTGTTACGAGTGGTAATCTTTGTAAGAGAAACGGAGACCATTAATGTTCTTAATGAGGCTCAATGGGATTTACCTGTCTAAATAAAGGTTGAATGAAAAATGTTAGATGATAGTTTCATTTCAAATCGTAAATGGTCTCCCATCACAAAATAAAAGTGTGCAATGCGTTTTTACATTTTCTAACTGTGCCTTTAGCTTCTTGCTCAAGCGTTAGAAGGTTAAATCATTCTTGCAAGATTAAGGCTGAAGAAACGTTTATTGATTTAAACATCTGCATCAACACATGAACTGACCTTTTTTAATGTCTCTAAATCTAGAATGAGAATCAAATTTTCACATTTTACGCATCACAATTTGGCTCCTTCCGCTCAGTCTTTTAGAAAATGTGGTTTGGAGTGGACGCCCTCATCATCATGGGACCTCCCATCTCCTCTTGATGGGAGGCGTAATCCTGCTGCAGAGCTTCGAGGAGGCCAGGAATGTTGGATCTTCCTTCGAATCATTGTTCAGATCACATTGTCAAACATGTGCATGGACTGCAAGATGTTCTCATCCTGGATGGAGGACCAAGAGACTAATTGAATTATTTCAACAGTCGTGGGTGTTCATTGATTAGTTAGATATGAGATGATTAAACTTGAAAACAACCTTTTGACACGTCTCTAAAAACTCATCAATGGTGACCACTCCATCTTTGTTTTTGTCCATTTTCTAAAAATAAAAAAAAAGGGTAAAAGAGACTTATTAGTTGACAGGTGGTGGATTCTTTTGATTTTTAATTTAGATATTTTATGCACACTCCAATTGTTTAATAAATGTATTCATTTAATTTTATTTTCTTGAATATGTGTTACCTCTGGGCAACAATAAAAGAATAGCTTCAGGTGAAAGAGTTTAATTAATTGAGCGTCTTTTTCAGGAGTGATGTTCTAGGATGGAGCAGGAGATGGATTAATGAAATGGGGCCTCATCCTCAGTAATGTGGACGTTGTTTCGGTGGGTCTTGGTGAAATAAGGGTTGAGCCAAAAGGAAAAGCTCTTGATTTACTGGTCTGACTACGTTCCAACCATCACCTGTGGTAATGAGGTTTGGATCATGACTGAAGGAAGAAGCAGCAGAAATGAGCTTCCTTCGTAGGGTGGCTGGGCTCAGTCTTAAATACAGGGTGAGGATCTCCATCATCCAGGGGGAGCTCGGAATAGATCTGCTGGAGGTTTTCCAGGCATTTTTCACTGGGAAGAGACCTCAGGGTTGACCCAGAACTCACTGGAGGGATTATTAATCTGCCTCTCTGCCCTGGAAACACCCTAGGAGAACCTGGAGAACTTTGTAGCCAGGGATGTCTGGGTTTTTCTCCTGGACATGTTGCTTCTGAGACCCGACCATGCACAGGTAAAAGTATAAAGGATGGGATGGAAGCTTTAAGTTACCGTATTTCATTTAGCATCATCACATATTATCATTTTTTTTGTCACAGAAAGTGGGAAAGTTATGATAATTTTAGCCTCTATTGAACAAAATGTTCATAATCTATCAATAACAAGCCTGAACATTACAAACGAATTTTTATTGGCTTTATTTTTTAGTAAACACAGGCAAGAAGATTGTCATTCCAGGTCAGAGCTTTCTGGTGGCTTTATGTGTAAATGTGTTCGGGAGAGGAAGGAGCAGGTATAGATGATGGATGGATGGATGGATGGATGGATGGATGGATGGATATAGAAGTCATATTTAAATTAAAAGCCTAGCATTTCTTGACATGTCTATTGTGCACCAACATCGTTAATGCAACCTCTTGGGATATACCATGTGGCAAAGTATGTGCTATGATTGATATTTTGAGATGAATATATTTTGCTAACAGACAGAGTTGACTCAGAGTAAAAACTGTAGCTCACTGAATAGACCATACCCAACACAGAAATGACCCTAAATCTGTCAAATTGACATAGATCAAGCTAAAAATGGATGTAGCTGAAAGTCATCCTCGAGAAATTCTCCAATAATTTTTTTTATTGTTGTGAATTTTACCTGGAAGAAGCTGTCGACGTGCTCCTTCGGAGCATCTTTTGCAGCATCCTTTAAGCTGGGATAGGTATGCTTCCCCATCATGCTGTAGATGGAGTGCATTATATCTGTCATCTCCTGGAGGAGAATAAAAGAAGACAGGAGGTGCTGAAACCATACGAGTCTGCTACAAACTCTGAGGGGTTCCAGTACCTCTCTGGTGATGCAGCCGTCCTTGTTGAGGTCGTACAGATTAAAGACCCAGTTGAGTTTGTCAGTGATGGAGCCTCGCAAGATGATGGACAAACTCAGAACCAAGTCCTACAGCAGGAAAAGTAAAGATGATGATGTCAGTAAACAAAATGACAGCCAATAAGATGAAATAAAACAAGTATTTTATTAAAACTAGACAATGTGAAGAAAACGGTTTGTGTCTCACTTCAAAGCTGACCAATCCGTTGTTGTGAATGTCAAAAGCGTCAAACAGGAAATGAGCGTACATACTCGAATCTAAAAAAAAGCAAACCAACAGCTTCATGTATAATAACTTCTTAAACTGACAAGTTTCCACACGGTCTTCTAAAATAACTTGAATTTCCGCACAAAATTTCAATTACTAGTTGAAATAGTCTGGTCTTTTCAACTGTATTTTTGGATTTTGGGAATTTTCTTTTCAGCTTGCAAATGGAATATCGGTAAATACTTTCTAAATACTAAATATATTTCATTTCCTAGAGTTATTCCAAGTTATTTTCACGTACCAACAGCTTTCATGAACATGTTAGCATGATTATATATGTTAGCATATGTGTCGAGTACCCAGTCAGTATGAATATATTAGCATTCATATGTTCGCTTTATAAGTGTAAAGCTCCAATAAAAGCTACTGATCACTAAGTCGTCAAGAAGAGTCCCAAAGAATTTGATAAAGTAAGACAATATGTACATTTTTTTCTTCATAATGATAGTTACTGTGTCTTTCAATAAAATATCTATAAAATATGTTTATTTACCTATACAGAAACGGATGAAGTAAGTGAAAATAGGTCAACAATGACGCACAGAGAGATGTTTGGGCTTGAGAAATCTGGCAATTTTGATGTATTTGCAGATATGTGTTTTGTTTACATTGAGTGCGTACCTGCATTCCAGAACTATTTGGTTTTGCACTTTTTTCTGTAGTGTTTCAGTAGAAGGCCACATTATCAGACATATATGCAGATTAAACCTTTATTGCTTTTAAAAACACCAGAAGAATGTGGGGTTGAGGAATGATGAGAAGTTAGTGTACCTCCCTGAGGAAAGAACTGGGAGTAGATGCTTTTAAAGGTGTCTTCGTCCACAGCACCACTGGGACACTCCTGTCAGGAAAATATAAATCAGCAATGCCCCAATAAATGTTTATTATGCACAAAGACAATGCAATAATCCATATGACCGATTCTGAAACTTTAAAGCTTTGCAATTTTCAATTAAATGAAAAACAAGAACTGACGTTTTTGAATCCACGGTAGAGGACCTGCAGCTCCATCTTGTTGAATTTAGTCTGTTGGACGAGTCTGTCGAGGCTCTTGGGTCTGTAACGCACTGTTGACAGTTCTTCTTCATCAGCTATACTTCCTGTGGGAAAGAAGATAACGCTTTGAGCTGTGCATTGAAGTGTTGTGTCCATAAATGGGGAAAAATAAAGGTGTAAAGATAGATAAAGGTCAAAACTTGCTTTGAATGTCTGAAGACCTTGAGCCAGAGTGGTAACAGGGCAGCAGTTTGAGGAAGCGCTGCTTTATGGTCTTTTTGATAGGTCTGGATGGAGGATTACCTAAAAAAACACACACAAAAAAACATCAAAGCAGATATTAGAGAAAACAGAATCCCTTATTTTACAGTAAACTTTCCACACAAATCACAAACACTTGTTGGTGGCACTTGTGAGTGGACTGGTGTGCTGGCCTGGTTTATACTTCCTATATGTGAAGACTAACCTGAAGTGACACAACTAGCATTATAATAAATCTACAGTGCCTTGCGAAAGTATTCGGCCCCCTTGAACTTTTCAACCTTTTGCCACATTCCAGGCTTCAAACATAAAGATATAAAATTTTAATTTTTTGTGAAGAATCAACAACAAGTGGGACACAATCGTGAAGTGGAATGAAATTTATTGGATGTGTCAAACTTTTTTAACAAATAAAAAACTGAAAAGTGGGGCGTGCAATATTATTGGGCCCCCTTGCGTTAATACTTTGTAGCGCCGCCTTTTGCTGCAGTTCCAGCTACAAGTCTCTTGGGGTTTGTCTCTATCAGTTTTGCACATGGAGAGACTGAAATTCTTGCCCATTCTTTCTTGCAAAACAGCTCGAGCTCAGTGAGGTTGGATGGAGAACGTTTGTGAACAGCAGTCTTCAACTCTTTCCACAGATTCTCGATTGGATTCAGGTCTGGACTTTGACTTGACCATTCCAACACCTGGATACGTTTATTTGTGAACCATTCCATTGTAGATGTGGCTTTATGTTTTGGATCATTGTCTTGTTGGAAGATAAATCTCTGTCCCAGTCTCAGGTCTCTTGCAGACTCAAACAGGTTTTCTTCCAGTATGGTCCTGTATTTGGCATCCATCTTCCCATCAATTCTGACCATCTTCCCTGTCCCTGCTGACGAAAAGCAGGCCCAAACCATGATGCTGCCACCACCATGTTTGACAGTGGGGATGGTGTGTTCAGGGTGATGAGCTGTGTTGCTTTTACGCCAAACATATCGTTTTGCATTGTGGCCAACAGTTTGATTTTGGTTTCATGTGACCAGAGCACCTTCTTCCACATGTTTGGTGTCTCCCAGGTGCTTGTGACAAACTTTAAACAACACTTTTTATGGATATCTTTGAGAAATGGCTTTCTTCTTGCCACTCTTCCATAAAGACCAGATTTGTGCAGTGTACGACTGATTGTTGTCCTATGGACAGACTCTCCCACCTCAGCTGTAGATCTCTGCAGTTCATCCAGAGTGATCATGGGCCTCTTGGCTGCATCTCTGATCAGTCTTCTCCTTGTTGGAGATGAAAGTTTAGAGGGACGGCCGGGTCTTGGTAGATTTGCAGTGGTCTGATACTCATTCCATTTCGATATGATCACTTGCACCGTGCTCCTTGGGATGTTTAAAGCTTGGGAATTTTTTTGTATCCAAATCCGGCTTTAAACTTCTCCACAACAGTATCTCTGACCTGCCTGGTGTGTTCCTTGGTCTTCATGATGCTCTCTGCACTTTGAACAGAACCCTGAGACTATCACAGAGCAGGTGCATTTATACGGAGACTTGATTACACACAGGTGGATTCTATTTATCATCATCAGTCATTTGGGACAACATTGGATCATTCATAGATCCTCACTGAACTTCTGGAGTGAGTTTGCTGCACTGAAAGTAAAGGGGCCCAATAATATTGCACGCACCACTTTTCAGTTTTTTATTTGTTAAAAAAGTTTGACACATCCAATAAATTTCATTCCACTTCACAACTGTGTCCCACTTGTTGTTGATTCTTCACAAAAAATAAAATTTTTATATCTTTATGTTTGAAGCCTGAAATGTGGCAAAAGGTTGAAAAGTTCAAAGAAGCCGAATACTTTCGCAAGGCACTGTATCTCTAGACGACTGAGTGAATGACATTTATTCTTTCTTTAATTTAATTGATACGCAGAATAAAACAAAACAAGATGTTCAGAAAAGTGTGGCACTGATGAAGCCCCTTTTAATCAACCTCGATGATTTAAATACTGTAAATTCATAAAAGCTGGTTTAATATAATATAATAATAATAATAATAATAATAACATAAAACTTTATTGTCATTCAAAATTGTACAGTGCACCATGGAAAATTGAACAAATTTTTTTTTAACATTGTTTATTTGAATCAAAACTTTAAAAAGGCATTATATTTGACGTTGTTTTCAATAATGAGCATTCCACCATCAAACTCTTCTTGTCTGATTCCTACACTCAAATGTAGCTGTTTTTAAGATTTGAATGTCAAGATTTTCAGCTTGTTCAAATTTATTTCAGTGAATAAGTTTTTTTGTTGCTTTTTATTTCACATATGCGTGCGTTCAGCTCATTATTTGAGTTGTTGATGAACATTTCTTTCAGACTGAGTTCAGATTTCGGCGCCTCAGCAGCCTTTTCTCACATCCAGGGACCCTCTGGGTGACTTTGATTAAATCAATCTAAAGAGCTGCAGCCCTCCTCTGCTGATCAATACTCTCTTCCCCTCATTAGTATTAACATTTAAAGGCTCTTTAATCTTCTTCTATCCTTTACCAACAATATAAACCACTAAAACTATGATGATTGAAAAGTTAGAGAAAATAAAAGCAGTTTATAAAGATTAAAATATCATCTTTCTGTATCAGAATGTTAAAAATTTGTTGGTGAAATTTATTTGAGACGTTATTTCACATAAAAACAGTAGCAGTGGGGAAAGAAATTAATTAAATAAAGTGAAAAGAGCAAGGGTATAAAAGTAAAAGATGTATGTATTTTTAATTTATTTAATCAAATATAGTTTCTTAACCCATTTTTTAAACATGTTTCATAAAAATCCCTAAATCCGTACATTTTTCCACTCCAAAATTCATTTTTAATTGTACTGAACCAAAAAACAAAGCATAAAGTTGTCAAAGGTCAAAACAGTTTACTTTTATCAAATGCATTCATGCTGAAAACATACGGTATTAAAAATTTTTACACATAAAGATATCAAAAATAATTGATTAGTAATAGTTTAAACATTTCTGTTTGTAAAAGTAATTAACAGGATCTGAGACAACAGGCAGCCCTGGTGGAGCCCAACTCCCACCCTGAAGGGGTCCGACTTACTGCCGGCAATGTGAACCAGACTCTGACACCACTTGTGTAAGGACTCACTGGTCCATAACAATGGACCCCAAATCCAATTCTCACAGAGCACCCCCACCACCACCACCACCACCACCACCAATGTTCCTCTGGTAACACAAATAAATGCATTTCCAAGTCCACAAAAAAACGTAGACTGGTTGGGCAAACTCCCATGCCCTCCCTAGGACCATAGTGAGAGTAAAGAGTTGGTTCTATTTTATTTTATATATTTATTTTTAAGTGGTATTTTGTGTTTATTGTTAGTTTTCTTCCATTTTGGGTATTGTGGGTTTTTTTTCTGTTTTGTGTCATGTTTGGTTTCTCTGTGCCATCAGTTCATTCCCCCAGTACTTTTCCATAGTCGATTTCTGCTTTGTTCGGCCACGCCCACCTACGTACACCTGTTTCCTGTTACCATCAAGCCACCTGTTTTCTAATACGTCCTCATCCTTCTTGAGCTCATTCGTATAGTCCGTCTGCAGTCCAGCATTGTGTTTGCTTCACACCATGTTTGGTTCTCCTCTGTGTTGCTGGTTTTGTTTTGTTAATGAAGTCTTTTTGACTCGAGCTCCGTGCATCAGCCTGCATTCCTGGATTCTACGCCTACAAACTGTGACACCTTTTGCTACACTTACAGCTACCAGTCTATTCTGGCATGTCTCCAGCCTAACCAGCACAAAAATAACCACAACTTGGCCAAATGTACAGAAACTGAGCTATAGTTTGGTGTGGTAGCAGCTGAGAGTCATCCTCAACACATGTTTTGAGCCTGACAGATATCACCATTTTGGATTGGATTATGTCAATGGCAAGGTCGATCCAAATTAGCTACAACTCCAACATTCCTTGTGTACTGTATGTTTCTTTGTACTGAAACTCTGGCACAACAATTTCCTGCGGGATCAATAAAGTTCTATCTTATTTCTCAGACAATCTGGCTTAAAAGACAGCAGCAAGTCATATTTTATTTATAGTTTTTAGACATTATGCTTGTCCAGAACGGTTGTGTCTCACACTGATAACAAATATATGAAAAGCAATGATGATGATGCATTTTTATTTAGGTTTGTACCTGGAAAATTATGTATAATTTATTTGAAAATTAGTGCAAAAAGTGATGAATTGACAAAAAAAAAAAAAAATCCAGTGGACGGGCAGCCATCATGCTAGCTTTTAGATGGAGCTGATAAATCTTTCATAGTCACGCTGTTGTTCTTGTAACATCAGTGTTTTACATCATGCTCTTTCCCTCACGCTGAGCTTCATTTGTTTATAAAGCGTCTCCTGAACGACCCCGTAAAGGCTCAGCGGTCACACGCACCTGTTCATTGTTTGGTTCACCTACAGCTTAGTCAACGTCACACCAGATCGTGTCAGCAAATAAGCCCAAAACTCTACGCCAAAGCTAAACCAGAACAACACTGAGCCTCTCTCTCTCCCTCTGTAGGTTATTTTTACACATTTTTTTAGCCTGTTTCACAGTAACAAACTATTCCTGGAAGTTGTCACAAGAAGGACGAAACAGCTCCACAAAGTGCTGAGAAATCTATGTGATCTCCGGGAGAGAATAAAGCAGCGAAGAGTCAAACAAAAAGAGGAGCGTCACTGATCTCCTCAGGCTAAAAAAAGCCTCCGGCTGACAGGTGAGAGCAGAGTCTGTTTCCTTTCTCCTCTCGCCGAAGCCGGACGGAGTCCACGAGATGTTTACACACTCGACGTGGACACTTGGAGGTCAGGGCGATAGGATTTAAAAGATTTATCTCAAGTTTTCATCTCTACTGAAACAAAAAGACAAGAACATCAAACTGAAACATGCAGGGGGCTCATTTGCAAGTGATTAACATTTGGAAAACTAAAAAAAAAATTAACAGTTGGCATATATATATCTATATATATATATAATTTTAGAGTTTAGAGGTGCACACTGTTATATTAGCTGATAACTTTTATTAAATGATTAAATATCTAAATTCACTATGAAGGACTTCATATTGCTCGCCGCCTTTTGTGCCTGAAATTTGAACTAGAACCCGTTCATGCTAAGAAGAAATGGCGTTGTTTCGGTCAAACCTTGTAAATAACGTTGTAAACAACAAATGCTGCGAGAGCTCATGAGTTGTGCACGAGCTCAGAGTATCTGTTGAGGATGACTCTCAGCTGGTTTAGCTCAATCGGCCCTTTCTATAAAATTGACTGTTAGCAAGTTATCCACCAGATGAATTTAAACAAAACTTTCAGTAAATAATCATATTATATACATTTACAAATAATCAACATTTGGAGTCAACACAATTCAAGATGGCCGTTGAACTTACATAGCACAACAATGTCAATGAGTCTGATAGATGCTGAGCTTTAGTTCAGTGAAGCTGAGAATAATCCACAACACACCATTTAGATGCTAATTACTGTGCGACACGTTTGCTTAAATTTTTAGCAATAAACGTTGGAGTCAGTTCTGTGTGTCTGTTAGCAAAATATCTCATGAAACACCCAGCAGATTACAACGAAACTCAGAAAGATGTGCATCTGAAACTGATCAACTGTGGAGTCAGTCTGATTCAAGATGGCCGCCACAGTTAATCCAAATGTCTTTGACTCATTTACTTTTAGATATTGAGGTCAAATTTGGTGTGGGCGCAGTCGAGATCATTTCTTAATTATAAGGTGATCTCAGTCTAAAGCTTGGGCATGAATAAATAAACAACAACAACAACAAAGTGGAAAAGACTACTAACTACAAACTATTTTTCCTATTATTGATTTGTTAATTGTGTGAATGTTTCTGAATTGAGTTTTCTTCCGTCCATTTTTCAGCACGTAACTCGTTCCCCAGTTTTTGTGCTATTTCAACAACTCGTACATCAAAACGTTCGGCTCCTTCAGGACATTTCTGCTGTGACTTTTAGCATTTGTGAAATCTTCTGAAATATTTAGCTTTTTCTGCCATGTTTTTCTTGTCGAAAGTGAATGGTGCTCTTTGTTTAAAACTTTTACTGCTCATTTTAGCTTTTTTAAGTTTTGATTCTGGTTCAGCTCCTTTCAGCGTCTTTCTGCTAATTTCAGCTTTTTGTACCCTTTTCAACTTTTTTCTGCTAATTTCAGCTTCTTATGCTCCTTTCAGCTTATTTTTTTGCTAAATTTAGCATTGTTCTGCTTTTACATCTACTTTTTACCATTCTGCTATTTATTTTTACATTTTGCTTTCTTGCTTATTGACATATTTTGTGCTTCTTTTGGATAATTTAAAATTTTTTTCCACTTTTTTACAAATTGCTGATTTTTTTAAATGCTTTTCAGCTACTTTTTTCTTGCTTATTTCAGTTTTTTCTTGCTCTTTTTGGTTTCTCCATACATTCAGATTTTTTTGTAATCTATTTAACCTCTCTTCAGCTCATTTATGCCCATTTCTGCTGCTGTCAGCTTTTATTTTTCTGCTTTCAGCTAATGTCAGCTGTTCAAACTCAACAGTTTAGTGTAACCATTTCAGCTTGTTCAGCAACTTCAGCAAAAATCGGCAATTTCACACAGGAAATGAAATTTCTCTACTTTCCTGTTTTACAGCCTTGGAAATGTAGAGGTCACATGGAGGTAACATCCATCTATCCATCATGCATCCATCCACCCATTCGGCCACGCGTCCATCCATCATGCATCCATCCACCCATTCGTCCACGCATCCATCCATCCATCCATTCATCCATCCGTTGGAGCAGCTGATGAGATGAGGATCACATCCTCTGACCTCCTGATGTAACAGTCAGACAGTAAATCCTCATCCAGAGCCTGAGGGCGCGCGCCTGTCTGGAAATTAAACCCAAACCCGCAGCAGACACTGATGAACAGAACCCACCTGTGAGCGGGTCGTAGGATCTGTCCAGCTCTCTGGAGTCTGACAGACTCTGGTCCTGACTCCTGGACTTCATGTTTTAGTTTTTTTCTCAGTTCTTATCCAGACCTCTCGGGTCCTTCACGGCTCCCTCATGTCCCGGTTCTGTCCGCGCTGCGCAAAGATGGATAAAGTCCTGCGCTCCGAACCTCCCTGCTCCTCCGAGCGCGCGCTCTCATCCGAGGTTTAGTTGTCTTTAAAGTTCTAAATGTTGACGAGGGGAGTCAACAACCTCGGATCAGGACTCCGGTGAGCCCGCGATTGTTGGGAACAGAGAGGGAGGGGGCGCAGAGAGGGGTGACGGAGGAGGAGGAAAGATGGACCGAACCGCCTGGACTCGAACTGACAGAACCCTCTGCGAATTTGCATATTTGATCCCTTCTAATTCTTTGAAGTGGTGTGCACAAAACTTATGAGTAGTTAGTATCTTACCTGTTCTAGATGGCTCTTAATACAGTTTAATTTTGACAGAAATATTTTGCTAACAGTTACATGTTTATGTCGCTGTCAGGATTTGCATTACATTTTTATTTGCATACATTTATTTGACCATTTGCAAGTGCAAAAAGAAGCAGCTGCAGCTAGCTGTAGCACTTCCCGTAGGGACATCATATTAGTACTGCCAAAATAACTGAGATTCATCATCAAAATGTTTATAAAATATGAGCATAAACTGCTTTGAAGTCTTTGAGGCCTTTGTTTTGAGATGGCAGTGACCCACTTTGGTCTTGACCCTGCTCTGACTAGCCATTAGCTCATTAATCTGACACAGATTGTTCAAGTTTGGACCCAGGAGTGCAGACTGAATCAAAGAGCTAAAAAAAAAATCCAACAAAATTTTATTAAAACAAAAACAAAAAGGCTGCTGAGGCAGGAAAAAAAAACTGTGCACAACTCAGGGAAGCACAAGGAAGACAAGAGGCAAGAAAGAGATGTGGCAAGAAAACCCAAATAATGCTCAACTGGTGAGTAATGAGAAACAGAGGGAATTAAAAGCCTGAGGCTAATGAGGATGGGGAACAGGTGTGGTGGGTATTTCAGGGCTGAGGAGCAGAGACAGCCTGTGGGAAAATACTGGGAGAAGTGGCACAAAAATAGAACAGGAGACAAAATAACAAAACAAAGGAACAGAAAGTGACTAAAAAAAAGCACAAAACAAAAAAAAATCTGCCAGAAAACAAGTCCAGATCAGGAGAGAGGTGCTGTTTGTGGGTTTTGTTCATGAGTTAGGGGAAATCGACAAATGGATCAATGCAATATTGTGCAGTCTGTTCCAGTCCATAGATGTGAAGAGGGAGCTGAGGTGCAAGGAGAAGCTTTCTGTTTACTGGTCAACCCTCACCTCACAAACTCTGTGTCCAAAAGAACAAGAATGTAGGTACAAGCGGACAAAATGAGTTTTCTAGCAGCTGGACTCTCCCTGAGAGACTGTAACGATTGTGGCGTACCCAGATACAAGGACCGAAGAGGACAGATACAAAGACTCAAACAAGTTTACAGTGTTTATTTAGAAAGGTGGAAAAATCATCGATTGTGCCAGGGAGGGAGCTGGAACCCTGAAGAGCAAGATGGTTACTGGTCTGTCGACGGGGTGATAATGTTGTTGCTGCTCTTTCTTACTGTGGAGGTAGGAGTTAGTTGTGGGGAGAGCTGACCCAATGGTTGGGCGAAGAAAGCGGGCAAGTGGTAGGAAGGCGTGGAGGCAGCTGAGAGCTTGAGGTCCACAGAGGAGAATCCAGGAGACAGGAGGACGTCAGGGTTATACTCTGGAAGCTCGGAGAAATATACAATTTGTTATTTAGTTTATCTCACAAGTAAAAAGCTAGAACAGAACTATCGTTGGCAGGTAATGCTCCAGCACCTGCTGAATGTCCTATGCAGCTTTTTATGCTTCTCTTGCTCATCAAGCCGATGATCCGCAGGTGCTGCTGACTGGTGCTCAGATGTGGCTGCAGGGAGCTGGCAGGGCAGGACTCCCACAGAGACAGGGTGAGAAGTTCTCTGAGAGACACTCGGAGTGAGCAGCTGCTCCTCCACGTCAAGGGGAGACAGTCGAGGTGGTTCAGGCATCTGGTAAGGATGCTCCCTGTACGCCTCCAGAGGAGAAGGAAGGAGACCCCAGGGAAGACTTAGGACACACTGGAGAGACTTTATGTCTCTTGGCTGGTCTGGGAACTGCTTGGAGTCCTCGCAGAAGGGCTGGAAGAGATGTCTGGACCTCCCTGTTGCTGCTCGACTAAAGAACAAGACGGACGGACCTTTTTCTATAATAAAATTTGTCTTAAATCCTTTAAAGTGCGACACCCGTCCCTCTTCTCTCTGACACATCAGGGTTTAAAGGTTCAGAGTGTTTGCTGTGGGTCAAATCCTTTTTTTATTCCAGATTAAATTTTAAACCAGCTGTTTTTATTTTTTAAATGAAGTCGTCGTTTTAGGAGGACATGTTTTATCCCTCAGAGCATGAGACAGTTTAAAGAAAAAGCTCTGATTTGCAGCCAGATTTCATGAAATGCAGCAATTTCAGTTTAACGATTCTAGCAATTGTTTAAAAGGAGCTAACTAAATAATAATAACAACAACAACAACAACCCCGGTAGATGAATTGAGAACCAGTTCTAATTTGAAATAAGGAGCTGGCCAAGACAATTTAAGTCTAAAAATGTTAAATGAATGCTGAACCTCCATCTTTTACTGAATGACTCTAATCTACATCACTGTGTGTTCAGGACATTTCATTCTCATCTAAGAATATGTCTCTGGGAAAATATTTTCTACTTTACGCAACTCAGGATGAACAGTAAACAGCTCTACTGTGTTTGAGCTGAAACATCCCTCAAATAAAGATTTCACTGAGGCAGGCAAAAATCCTTTGTTCCAGGAAAAACTAAAATACTGCTTGTAGGGGATAAACCGAGGCAGGGATTATTACGACCTCTGTCAGAGGACTGATGGAGAGGAGAGGAATAATCTGCAGGAGAAAGAAAAGCACGGACACAAAACGAGGCAGAAGTACATCTCTGACGGGGGAACAGAGACACAAAAGACAGAGAGGTATTTGAATATGAAATGTGCCTCGGGACCATTAAACCCAGTGGTGACGGTGTTTATCTCCCAGAGGGGGCTCAGAGGAGTTTAGCAGCACTGCAGGCTGGAAAGGAAAATAAAATAAGATAGATGAAATTATTCAGACTGCTCTTATCAGATGATTAAAAAAAAACATTCTGGAGAATTATTTCTGCTCAAACAGGCAGCTGGAGTGGAGTTAAACTACAAACACCCTGAACGGAGAGGGAAGGACCTGTTCAGCTGAGACAAAGCAAGCAATCGGGCCTCGAATGAATATTTGATGAGAAGGCTGATGTGCTGTAATGAAGCGTGATGAATTAAAGTGCAGTGGCAGGAGAGCGCCCGGGACATCAGCTCAAACACGTGAACTCACCCTGCACACACCGGCTCTGTGGATAACGCTGCTTTATGTAAGCAGAAAGGATGGGGTTCGTGTCGGGTGGGGGCTGGGATCGATCACATCATTTTCTAAAACTTTAAATGCACAAAAACGACGACACGCTGTAGAACCTGCAGTTCAGCGTTTCTTCATCATTCATGAGTTAAATCCATCTTGGCCGATCCTCAAGAAGACGGGTGAGGACACGGACAGAGTCCTGTCCAGGTGCTGATGTCTGATGCGGGGGACGCCTCCCTCATCTTTTCCTGGGACGATCCCGTTCGACGGAGTTCTTCAAGAAGTTTCTTCCTCCTGATCTTCGTTGAGGAGGCATGACCTCCTGGGAGGACGTGGATCCATGGTGGACCTGTGTAGTTGGAGGACCAGTGGACCTGAAGCAAGCGTCGGTGGCAGCTCACTCCAAACAAGAATATTATTTTCTCAGTTTCTACTCTATGAAAAAAGACTATGTCAGGGCTGGAGGCCCGGGGGCCAAATCAGGCCCACGAGGGAGCTCAGTTCAGCCCACAAATGGGTTCATTTTTAAATAAAACCATTTTAAATCATAAAACAAACTTACTATACTTAATGACAATAACTGCTGGATGTCCACCCCCTGAGCTCTTGGCTTTCAGTGACTCTCCCCCGTCAACTCCTCTGAGACAGTAATGCCAAAATGGTTCACAACACCTAAATTCATTCTCAATAATCCAGGTAGAAAATCCAGTAATTGGTGTTTTGAACCATTTTGGCTCGACTGTGGGCTGATGGGAAGAGTGGCTGCATACATTAATAATGTTTCTTAAATAGTTTTTCTTTATATATATATATATATATATATATATATATATATATATATATATATATATATATATATTAGTTTAAATATAAGTGGTGAGGAATGAGTGATGGCTCTTTTGTATTTGGACCAATGTATAAAAATCTACATAAACTTTGTGACACATTTAAAGAAAAGCTTTTCTGACATTTTCCATGACCAATATATCAAAAGCTACACTGTTTCCAGAAACGCAGACAACACAAAAACATTATTGCCCCCTTTTTTTTATCTCATGGCAGTGGGTGATAATAAACAGAATTTATGTTTGGTAGAACTTTTTCTTTACCTGTGAATAAAACGTTTACCAAAACACGTTTTCTTAACTCTCAGAAGGTCCTTCAACTTTATGACAATAAGGGAGAACATTAACCAGCTTAAAAATACTTAGGTTTTTATTTTATTTTTTCCAGAATAACCCAGTCAATAACATATATATGAAAAATTAATCTAAATAAATTTTAGATTTTATTTCATTATTTTTTATATACAATTCATTAGTTTTTAAATCAACAATTTTGGAAAAATAAATAAATCTATAATGCCCAAATTAGAATGCCCAAAAGGATAATTTATTAATTTATTTTTAAATTCCAGTCCAGGATTCTGTGAAGACCATCTGCTTAAATGAGTTAAACATGAACCCCTTGCTGAAAATGATGCCTTGCTCTCGATCAGATTGTTCTGCAGTCCCCATTGGAGAAAAATATTCTCGCTTTATTGAGCATGGACTTTTTTTGATTCTCGCTTTATCTTATTTACTCAAAAGGAGCCACACTCGACAGCAGACTTTGAACCAGTATTTTACTTGCAAGGTCATTTTCTCAGGACAGATGTACACGCATGAAGCCGTTGGAGTGCCAGCTGCACACTACAGCCTCACCCAGCTCCTCATCCAGCTTTATACTAAACCAACACATGGTTCATGGGCAGGGTTAACATTCAAGCCATAGTACTGTAATTTCTGGACTATAAGCCGCCAATTTTTTCACAGGCTTTGAAAACCGCGGCTTATACAATGCTGTGGTGAATTTATGTTTTTTTTTTTTTTTTTTTTTTTTGACAGGCTAACAAAATTTATGCCACCAAAACATTTGGCCTCGTCACACCCGGTCGCTCGCATAGCTGCTCAATACACGTTTCTCTTGCGGGGTGGGTCCTCGCTTCTCAATGAAACTACCTGTATAAATAAAGGTTAAAAAGAAATCTGACAAATGAAATTACTGAACAGTTCACAGCGGACCAATGCAACAGGAAGGAGAGAAACTTTGTTTTGAAGTATTTACAGCAGTACTTACACTCCGAGCTCTGGGGGATTCAGGCAGGCAGCTGCGTGATGGAGTACAGCACAAGCTTGCACAGGCGGAAGATGAAGATAGCGATCAGTGATTTTTCTTGGTAAGCTACTGTTTTTATTTATTTAACCAGTCATGTTACAGGCACTGTTAAAAAAAAAAAAACATTTACTGTACGTATTTGTGTACGTTACCAGTACGTATTTAAGTAAAAGTTTAAAAAAATCTTTCTGTGTAAATATCTTATGTTACAACATGAACGCCTGCGGCTTATACATAAGCGCGGTCTACACAAGTACAAAATTATTATTGTTTTTTATTTAGTGGGCGTGGCTTATATTCGAGTGCGCTCAATAGTTCGGAAATTACGGTAATTAAAAACATCCATAAACTTTGACCAAAAATTCTTTAACAGTCCCACGTTTTTTTTTTTAAATCTTGTGCAGTGCAGGTGTGTTGTTGTTCTTTACATCCAAATACTGTAAAACGATTTTGTCGGCCGAGACGAGAGACGGAGCTCCACAGTAACGTCCAGCTGCGAAGGACACGCCTGTTTTCAGTGGGCTGATATAAAAATCAAAAGTAGAAAAATCCATCCGTATCTGGAAGGAATGCCTTATTTTCTAAGATAAACATGGGATCAAAATATGCATTTATAATGGATTTCAAGAGGCTCAATTGTTCTCCTAATGAACGCGAGAGCAGTGAAGTTACTGTGAGGTTACAGGAGCATTGGAAACAATTCTGACAAAAACTAAAGTTGCTCAAAGGATTTTCAGGCTTTGTCAGAAACAATCCTGTTTAATAATGACTCACACAAATAAATAAATAAATAAGCACCAACAAAAATATAATGTGTAGCTGATTTTTCCCCCCATGAGACCTTCTGAGGGTTTATATTGTGTGACTAAACAGGAAACAAGTAGGAAAAAAATATATTTAATTAAAAAGAAACAGGAGTTAGATGACAGAGCCCCTACACTTAATGAAGTTGCATAATTCAATTCTGCTTTCATCTAAAAAAAAAAAAACAATCAACTTGTGAGTTTTGAATGAAGATGATTCAGGAGTTTAAAAAGTTGCACACGATGATTCTGTTTTTAACTAAACCACCACACTTTGTATCATGCTTCTACGATATAAAGAAGTTCCCCCTCTTAAATCTTAAGTTTGCTTTGTTAAAATAAAGACAAGAACATTTGAGGGTTTATGATTCAGCGTCAGAAGGTTTGAACCAAAAAAAACAAACTGTTTTTTAATCACTTCAAAGCATCCTCACAGCCTAATTTACGAAAACGACCTATACCGTAGCAAACAAAGCAACTTGAGAACAGAGAGTTAAATTAACCCAACGAGCATTTTGATTTAAAGATTAAACGCTTTGATTCAAACTGAAAATGGCTCAGGATCACCAGAACTTCTGTTAGAAAAGAACTGCGGTGGAGATAAATCAGAAACGGTGATTAGCTGTACGCCACAAGACTAAAATACTTTGTTTTACTGCAAGAAGGAATATTTTAAACGTTCACGTGTCAGTTAACAGTCCAGCCAAAACTACTGATTGCACTAAAGGAACCAGCGCGAGCTAAACACAACCACAAAGGATGATGGTCCAGAGAGTTCTGATTGTTCCTTAAGGTGCATCCAAGTGTGTCAGCGTGTCCAAACCTCGGCGAGGTGTTTCCACCGTTCAAAGGGTTCGGGCGGCGAGGAGTCGAGACGTGGAAGGAAAACCCGAGGACGGGTCCGGGTCGGTGCCGTTAGCATGAAAGCGTAAAGATGTCCACATGCACGAAAAGGCGGGTCTTAGTGAGGGTGGGGGCCGGGTCTCAGGAGATGGTGGAGAACTCTTTGAGCAGCAAGTCCTGGCTCAGGGTGTTCAGAGAGACGTTCTTCCTCACGTTCAGACTGATGGAGCGCACCTGCACACGTGCACACACACACATGCACACAGTGCTAAGATTTAACTGTGCACTTTATGTGTCCACATGGACGCGTCAACACGTTCCAGACATCATAGCGTCACTTGGAGGATGCTGATTCAGCATTATCGTTTTCCTCTGTATAGATGCTACTCCTTTGGACACTTTGTGATATTTCATTCACTCATAAATCAAAACGTTCGGCTCAATCAGAGGAAGTGAGAGATGACTTTTAGTATTCAAACCTTTTACTTTTTCAATAACTTACCTTTATTTACAAAATTCTCTCCATAGAAATATGAACATTCCTGCACAAACTTTCTTCTCTAAATCATGCTTCAGCGTACTTGCTCTATTTTTTTTTTACTTTAGCTCCTTTTAACTTTTAACTATTGTCTTGCCAATTGTAGCTTTTAGCTGTTTTGCTACTTTTAGCAATTAGCTACTGTTTTAGCTAATTTAAATATTTAGTCAGTCTTTTGATAATTTTAGCTTTTAGCTACAGTTTGGCTAATTTTAGCTTTAAGCGGCAGTTTTGCTATTTTAAGCTTTTGGCTAAGGTTTTGCAAATTTAGGCATTTAATTATGGTTAAATAGCAGCTACTGTTTTTGCAAATTTAGCTTTTTAGTCAGGGTTTTGATAATTTTTGCTTTTATTTATAGATATCCATGAGCTACTGTTTTTGCTTGTTAAAATTTTAGCTGGGGTTTTACAAATTTTATCATTTTACAGATTAGTTTAGCTAATTTAACCATTAAATAATGGTTATCTTTTGGCTACAGTTTTCTGATTTTAGCTTCCAGCTACAGTTTTCTGATTTTA